CAGCAGGTGCTTATCACAGTGGCAAGCTGACTGTTGGTGCTGCAGGAGGCAGGTACAGTACCTGAACTGTGCTTTGACACACTGCCAAAGCTGGGGAGCGGCAAGCTCTTGCTCCATCACATTGATTTTATAACTTTCTGGATAATGGTTATACACCACTGTACCCTCAGTTAAATTACATATATTTTTAGTTACGACATGTGGCTAGTAAAACAGTGAAAGCAACTGCACTTTTTCTCAACTGTGTGACACTGTGTATAGTAGTTGCCTGCTTCTGACAGGTTTACTGGGCAGCTTTCGAGAGAAAGCAGAAGCTAATTTATTGCAATTCCTTAGTCTTCTAACCCCAGCTTTTGAACTTTGTGGAAAAATGTGGTCATTCTTCTTTTGTTCTTTGTCTCCTTTAGAAATAATGCTTGACGTTCAGTCTTCGGTTGAGAGACAGAAAGTTTCTCTGTACACATCTTCTTACCGAGTGAAACAAAGATACTACTGTTTTAGCTTTTATGGACAAATTACTTCCTGAAAGACAGTGATAATAACTTCATCCCTTCTTCTGTAGGCATATGTTTTGTCTGAACAGACAGCTGAGTACCTACATATAGTCAATGAAGCTTGCTGGGCGGTGCAGGGGATGTGACTCAGAGCAGCAAAGTTAGATACCAAAACCACATGAGGTGAACATCTTCCCTGTGCTTTCAGCTTTTTGCAGCCTTTTATGGAAAGTTCGGTGTTGTCTTAATCTTTTGACTTGGAACTGGGGGAGTTTACCACCTAGTTTTCATCAATGGACATACTGCTGCAAGGCTTTGGTTTTAAGTTCCCATTAAGCTAGTTGCATCTTCCCACCTTAACATGTGAGAAGGTCATTTTTACAGCAAAGTGAGTGTGATTGCCATTTATTTCCTGGTAATATTCTGATAACTACTAGACCAGAATTGATTAAAGGATTCTTCTCTTTGGAGTTCAGCAGATACATGTAGGATGTATGAACGTGTTCAATTAGAGCAGAAACTTCAGGCAAAACACACCATCTTAGCAAAATGAGCACTGTAGCAGTAAGACCTAGACAGTAACTTTTTTTAATTGACTGAATAGATCATCAGGCATAGATATATTTGTAAATCTAATTGTCTTGCAGGGAAGGGAGGTATTCTGGGCTATGGTATGTCTTTAACACAAATTACTTCAGCGTTGTCACAAGTTGATTGGAAATATTTTTTCCTCACATTACTCATGGGTTGTCAACAAGTATGCAAATGTGAAAATTTAACATATGTTTCCTTGCTGCTTTTGCACGGTTTCTTACACCAGTTTCATGAGTAAAAACTGTCTTTTAAAATGCCATTTCCAACCCGAGTCCTTTGGTGTTGAAGACCATCTTACTATTATTTTCTTAGTCTTCTCCACAGATGTTAAATAATTTATTCATTTTACACACTTGGACTGTAGCCATTTTTATCTTATTCTGGTTTGTGCTGTGGCTAAAGTTTGTGTATCTGGTAATCCTTGTTACAGAGTGTTGCATCTATTTTAGGTTTCTTTGCTGTCTTACCTCAGAGCATCAGTTTCTATTGATCTTTTTGTTTTACTGTGTTAGTTACAGCATTAGTATCTTGCTTTTGATCTTTGTGGCAAATGCATTTATGTCTGAATGAAGCTGTAATGCTGTTAACTTCTGTAAAGACTTCCTGACAGCATAATAACTAGGGATGGACCAGCAATTTAGATCTAATAAGACCCAGTCAGGTTATTTTGTGTTGTGCCTTCTGTCTCACATCTGTTTGTGGAAGGTGGTCCTGGCTTTCCTGTCACAGGAGCCAGGCAGTCCCCTTGCCAGCATGGTCCTGCTCTTAATGTACCATAGGTGGATCAACTTGGAAGCCTAAAACTTGGAATATTTATTTTTTTCCTGAAATCTGCCATGTTTACTTCCCACAGTTAAAAATAGTTGTTTCATGCTTTCGTTTCACTGCTAGTGTGGAATCATAGAACAGTTTGGGTTGGAAGAGACCTTTAAAGGCCATATAGTCCAACCTCCTTGCAGTGAGCAGGGACATCGTCAACTAGAGCAGGTTGCTTAGAGCCTCATCCAACCTGACCTGGAATGTTTCCAGGGATGGGGCATCTACCACCTCTCTGGGCAACCTGGGCCAGTGTTTCACCACACTCATTGTGAAAAATGTCTACCTTAGATCTAGTCTGAATCTGCCCTCTTTTAGTTTAAACCTATGCATGACCCCTTGTCCTGTCGCAACAGGCTGTGCTAACAAGTCTGTCCCCATCTTTCTTCTAAGTCCCCTTTTAAGTCCTGGCAGGCTGCAATAAGGTCTCCCCAGAGCCTTCTCTTCTCCAGGCTGAACAACCCCAACTCTGTCAGCCTTTCTTCAGAGGAGCCTTTCTTCTGTCATCCACCAGTACGCCCAAGTCATTCTCGGCAGGGCTGCTCTCCATCCCTTCATGTCGCAGCCTGTACCAATACCAGGGGTTGCCCTGACCCAGGTGCAGGACCCTGCACTTGGCCTTGTTGAACCTCATGATGTTCACACAGGCCCATTCCTGGAGCTTGTCCAGGTCCCTCTGGATGGCATCCCGTCCCTCAGGCATGTCAACCACATCACTCAGCTTAGTGTTTAGACCAAGATGTAGTAATGCGTGTCAAAGAGCTGTAGATGTTATAGTTTTAGTTGTACTTAATTAGCACATTCTGTGTGTGTAACTCAAAGTTTTAGGGTCGTCTTTTGCGCAGCATTGAAATATGTTGGATTTTTTGGACAACCGAAGATGAGCACGGGGTAGCCATGTTGACTTGGGCTGGAATACACCTGCGTGCGCCGTGTTTTGCAGGTGGACTCCAGGAGTCCTAAGATGAGACTCACAAATCTTTCTTGACATTAAAGTATATTGGGGTATCACGGTGCAGTATTTGCTAAAGCTTTCCACAGATGGCAGACTTACATAGGTAGTGTGCCTGCAGTAAACTCCTGGGTTTTGTGCTGTTGTGCTTTCCTTCGAAAGGATATGATCACGCAAATCCTTTTATCTGGACTGCAGGCTTCATGTTTTGATAAGAACAAAAAAGGGAATCTCAGAAGATGAATGAGATGCTTTAAAGCGTTATTGGGTACTCAAGTCATTTTGGCTGTTGTAGAAAGTGCTTCCTCTCTGCTTGTTATGTCTTTCTTAGATCTGAGATTTTTTCTACAACCAGTTATTGCTTAAATATTGAATGATAGTTGAACTAGGAAGAATTAGATTAACAAGATTTGACTTTTTTTTTTTGTTTGGATGGATGCAGTTGTGCTTTTTGAATGAGAGGCTAGAGAGTATGAGATCCTCTCACTCCACAGTACTTACAGAGGCATATCACTGTGTCCTCTCTGAGCTGCTTCGCAGTTGAGCACTGGATGATACTGTGCTCCATTAGAAGAACCAAGTGCTTTCTGCTTAGCACACCAAGCTCTGTGTATTTGTTGATACAGCACAACACGTACAAGCTGTTCTGTAAAATACTGGAATTAAAAGGTGGATATGACCTGTCTCAAGGTTCAAACTAAAATCAGTCACATGTTTGACTATTGATTTCATTTTCTTTTTTTTAATTTGAGGAAAAAAGTACATTTTTGCTTTTGATGTTGGAGAGCGCAACGTAGTGCATGTATTGCATGTACAAAGCATGAACAACTAATGAAAAGAATTCTAATGGAATGCCTCTCCTAGATTTTAAAATTTCACACTTAATAGGTTATTGCAATAATTACTATTTTGTCAGTGCCATGATGACAGTTATCTCATGCTGCGTAATGTTTTGAACAGTAACAGGAAAATAGATATTCTCTGCCTTTTGCTTAGTTAAACTACATTTTTTTGAATATGAATAGTAAAATGTTTCAAATAAGAATAGTGGTGTATCATGAAGTGCATGCAAGTATATTTTACTTTTTAAAAATAGCTCAGCTAGCAAATTTAAAAGATGCTTAGCCTGACTTTCTTTTCTTTTCTTGGACTGAAATATTTTATAGACAATTTCCGAGCATTATTATAAAATCATTCTTTTAAACAAGATTTCATTTTGAAAGACCTGAAACTTGCAGACAGACAGGAGCCTCTTTGGAGAGTCAGCTGGAGAATAGGAGGGGTTACTTCTTGGTTTTCTAATTAAATCTCACCTACATACCCTGTATCAATAGAAATTGTTTGTTGTTACAGCTCACCTGTTCTTGGGTTGCTGAACAGAGCTTCCCTGCCCAAGATGTGGTGGGTAGTCATTCAGGGAATGAGTACTTTTTCTATAGTCAGATTCTTATTCCAGATCTTTGAACGTGGTTGGAGACGTGCCTGGGTGTTGAAGATCACTTTTCGGGAAGCTTTTCTGGGAGCTGTGAGAGTTGTTTGCAGCTCTGTTGTCATCAGAGCTCCTAGATGCACAAGCCTGAATGAATCTAAAACTGGTTGCACTTTGCTTGAGAGACGTGGTTGTACTGCATGCTGTGTATAGACGCTAGGATTACTTTTCCTGATGCAGCCCAAAGTTTGCACGTTCTTCAAATAAACACAGGCTATTGCTCAAGTGTGCTAACAGCTTGGCACATTCCACATGTAAAAAAAACTTATTCTGGAAAAATAATTGGTGTTGCTGTTATGTATATACCATATTTACGGTGAGCGTGGTATAAAGTGGGCAAATACAGAGCAGCAGTAGGTCGGTTGTTAGCTCACTGGGCACTTGTCCAAATATCATTAAAATGTTGACATTAAGTAATTTGGGGTTTTAATAATATTTAATTAACTACTTTTTAAAGACCTTTGCTCAGGTTGACCTACATGTCTAGTTTCAAAGTTACAGATAGTGGTATAGATAATAGATTTGACATGTTCAGTACATGGTGGTTTGCGAAAGGCAATAGAGTGTACCTCAAACTTCTAATGATGCCTTGTTTCTAATGAAGAGGAACAAACAAATGCACAATACTAAATACTGTCCTTTTTGTTTATTTTTCAGATTAGCACTGTACGTATATGAATATCTGCTCCATGTAGGAGCACAGAAATCAGCTCAGACGTTTTTATCAGAGGTATGTTTTCCCATTCTTTTTTTCCTTACACAACTTTCCAGTGTGTGCAAATGAAATCAATACGTGTTGGTCTAGAATAAAGAGCAGTGACAACTCTGAATTTCTCTTTACACTGATCAGTGTAGATTCTGATTCTGCAGAAGCCAGTTTGCATAACTCTTTTTGCTGTGATTTGTTATCCCTGTTCTGTGATTTGCTGCTACATTGGGGAAAGTTTGTTCTGTTTCCTATAATAAATGTGCATGTTAGAGAATGCATCAATGGTACCCTTTTTTGATGACCTAGCTTCTTGTTGGTATTTGCAGTTGTGAATGTTGTACCCTTCCAAAATTCACAGCGATCATGTGTTGTACATCCTACTGTCATACACTTGCAGTTCTCATTCTTTTAAGCACTGCTGATCTCGCTGTGTATTCTTACCATGCTTCTAACCACTTCATTTCTTTTCATCTGGCAAATCACTTATGACTACAACCATTTAGGTCCTGCTTCTTAAACACTTGCAACTGCGAGTGGAATTTCTACCTTTACACAATAGTTATTATTTTTCACAGTCTTTCAAAGACTTTGTATACATCTTTTGAAGATTGAAGTAAATTATGTCTCTTTAGCATTTTACGTTTACTCGGGGATACAAAAATAGCTGTATGCCAAACATATTGAGGTCTTTTTGATTTATTATTGCTTTTAATCTTTCTTTGATGAGAACATTTAACATAATAATAGTTGAGTAGTGAGCAGAAGTGAGGAAAAAATACGCAAGGTGTTGTACTAGGAAAATTTGCTGCTTCAACTGATACTCCTCCAAAACTAATAAAATTACTATACTGGTGATGACATTTTGGAGGTGGGGGAGGGAGGGTGAGAATCTGGAGCATTGTTTGTGGTGTTTATGGAGAATTCACGTAGCAGAGATAAGGAAAAGGTGTAGAATTGTGGTAGTGTCAGTTTATGTTTGTGGTAAAGTATGTTTTTGACAACTGCTTATTCTCTTTGGTAAAGCAGTGGAAAAATAAGAGAGCAAATAATGGAGAGTATCATCTTGGCTTTCCCAAAATAGCTGTAATTTGTAAATAATACACTGTGCAAGATTAATTTTGCTCATTTTGGTTTTATGATATATTTGCAAAATGAGCAGTTGACAGAATTGTAACTGGTAGGACACTTGGACTTTTAGAAAGTGTGGGATATAGTGTCTTTAAATTTAGCTTTTAAAACTAATTCACGCTTGTGTTACAGAGAAACTCTCAGGTCTGAATGACTGTAATAATGAGCATATATATACAATCTTCCAAATTATGACTGGTGCTAGCCAAAAGACAGTAAACACGGATCAGGGACAAATAATGTATAGGGTTGGTATGAGGTGTCTGTTAAACTCACAAGTTCATGTGAAATCTATTTAGCTCATTCATTAGCAATGCAGAAGGGTAAATACTATGCTGACAATACTTGTGAATGGTTATATGTTGGAACTAGAGGCAGTTATCACTGATACAGAGAAGCCTGGAAAAAAATTGTGTTTGGGTGGACAGGTTGAGATTGAGGAAACTCTACACTAATAGGGCTTGGAGAAAATAAACTAAAATGCACAAGTTAAATGGCAAGTGTTAAAAGCAGCAGAAAAAAAATGCCCATTCAGTCCTGGACTGTAAACCACAAACAGCTCTACCCTGACACTGTACCCCAGGTGAGTCAGCTGTTCTTGTTAGAGAGTGAGTTTTGGCATATGGGATCAAAACAAGAAAACATTAACTGAAAGAAGTGCAAAAAAAGTCTTCTAATAAATTTAGGATGTAATGAAAGTTATGAAGTTCTGTGTGTTTTCATCCTCTTCTGGCTCATGACTGTTGAGAAGCCACTGCCCTGTTGTCACGAGCTTGTTGTGAGAGTACTTCAGGTGTAGGAGGCACCCAGGTGGCAGAGGAGAAAAACTGTATTGGTTCGGTCCCTCCGAACCAAGGAGGTCCCCCCCTTTTTAAAAAGCACGGCTTTTGGGGCTCAATGCCCTCTCTGCTCTGGTAGTCTGCACCTGCCAGGATAGTTCGGGTGGATTTTGTTAAATATGAGATAGTTCAGAGTAGCTCTAAAACGGAACATTGAGGCATAAAAGAAGTAAGCATACCTTCACTGTCTGAGCTATACAGTGGTCAGTGGTATCTATATATGTATAAATGACAAAGGTTAAGAGCCCGCCCTTAAAGCTCTACCAAGAAACATGGCTAAGAGTAATGGAACAAAACTAAGAAGAGGAAAATTTAAGTTGGATATCATGGGATCCACTCTGCTACTAGATAACTTAAAGATGGGTGTCCTAAGCATTCCTATATTTTTGCAATACTTTGTGTCTAGTTTAAATTTCATAGAACTGATCCACAAGTCAAAGGGCTGGAGAACCTGCCCTGTGAGGAAAGGCTGAAGGTGTTACGTCTTTTCTCCCTGGGGAAGAGAAGGCTCAGGGAGGGACCTCATCACAGTGTTGAGTACTTAAAGGGTGGCTACAAAGAGGACAGAGGCTCTCCCTTCATTAGAAGCCACATGGAGAAGACAAGGGGCAATGGGTACAACTTGCACAGGGACCCGTTTCATCTTGATACATGAAAGAAGTTTTTTTTACAGTGAGAACAATCATTCACTGGAACAACCTCCTCAGGGACATGGTAGAGTCCCCATCACTGGAGGTTTTCAAGACACAACTGGACAGCGTGCTAGGTAATCTCATCTAGGCTCCTTTTCCCGCAAAGGGCTGTACCAAATGATCTTTCAAAGGTCCCTTCCAACCTGAGCTGTTCTGTGATTCTATGATTCTATGATTCAGTAACGCCTAGAAATCCTCTGCTGATCTTTCAGTTAAAAGGTGAACTATGCTTTGTGGTCCTTGTTGAGTACAGCCTTCAAAGCTTTGTTGCCTTCATCTCTAAAACATTGGACTTCAAGCTCATCTAGCATTTTCCTGGATCTCTTGGTAGCAGAGACCTCTTCAGTCTGTTGGCTGTAACTCTTGTATCTTGATCTGCAGATTTACTTCCTTTCAAGCGACATGGCATGAAGTACTGAGTTGAAGTAACTCAATAGCTGTTTCATACGAATTCATCATACAGTTGGCAAAATGGCAAGCACAACTAGCTTTCATCTAAGCCATGTCATTGCTTATGAGTGTTGAATGGAGCTATTTAGATGACGTACACACATTTTTGAAACAAAAGAAGGTGTTCTGCTCCAGAATTTTTCCTTTGGTGTCCCAGTTCCTGTGTTCTCCTTGAAGAGCTGATCCTTATCACACATATTTTCTACCCTTGAAGTTAGGTTCTAGCCTTGGAGGAATAATTCCCATTACATGGCTGGACCAGGAAGGTGGGCATTTCCTAGGTAATCAGTCACCGGTTATGAGCTTAATCAAGACAGTTGACAATGAGGATATTTCTTTAAAGCTAATATCTATAAATGTAAGTTTCTGTGATCAGACAGACTGACATCTGCCATGCGAGACAGAAGTATGTACTTCTTGAAGAACAGAACACAACCTCTTCAAGCAAGCCTCAAACTTCTACATTCCCTTTAGGCTCCTTCTCTGAATAAATTTCTCAAGATGAAATATGTCCTGTTAAAAAGGACCAGCATAAGACCTGTGAATTGGGCAATTTCCTCATCAAGCACTGCTTTGAAGAACATGAATACTGCTTGGACATAGCAAGGGCTTTCTACACAGACATAATTTTTACTCTTAACTGAATGATTTTTCAGCTTCAGGAATAATTTTTTGCTTTGGTTTTATGTTGCATCTCTTCATTGTGTTGCTTTTGAAACTTCTCAGAGTATTCCTGGTGATGAGCACAAGTTGTTCCAAGCCATTCCCAGTACGTGAGGAGCAATCATGCCTCAGAGGAGTGTATTTGAAGAGCGTGTAATACCTTCATTATAGCTTTGGCTTTTATTTATATTTTAAATTTTTATTAGTATTTTTATCTGACAGCGCTTAAGCACGAGCTTTTTAAAATACACTTTTATATATTAACTGCTGTTACATGGTGGTAGTGGGGTTAAGTGCCATGTAGTTGCTTCATTCTGCCAACTTTACCAACGGAAGTGATAGTGCGTCAAGCTTACCTATTAAAAATAATTTTTAAATAGCAAAATTATTTCTGAATAGTTGTATTCAAATAATGTGTCAAAATTATGCTAGGTTACTTCATATGAGTGCAAACAACATTTTTTAGGTGCACGAACTACATATTCTTCTCCTGCAAGTTATTGACAGAACCTGTATGTATTTAATTTTCTTAAGAATTGGATGTGGAAATCAGGTTGGAGTTGAGAATCAAAGTTTCAGTTCTTTTGGAAAATGCCAGCTTTACCAGTGCCTCTCGCATTATGAACACTATATCTACCTTTTATAGTAAGCTTTTATGTACTTCTGTATATATGTCTTTAAATACCTTTCATATTAAGGCTGTTTAAGCATTTCATTAAAATAATTCTCTTTTTGTCTGCCATTGTCTATGTCCTTAGAGCATAATATCGTTTGTGTTTGAACATTTTTTTTTTAAACAAAATTGGACAGGAAATAAATCTGTGTAGCTGTAACTGGAAGAATTTGTAGTGCATGCAGCACCCTAGTTTCACACAGTTACAACATGTGATGTTCTTCTGTACAGTGTTGTGTGGATTTCTGCAGGACCTCCAGTCGTTTGCAACAGAGCTCCTTCAGCATTTATACGAGCTTTATTGTAGTCCAAACGATTTAATTTTGTAGTTAAGGAAAAACTAATGACTATGGCATTGATAAATGGTTGCGTGATTGTCGTTAAGAACGACATTTGGGAAGTATTGCAGAGAGGCAGAACGCTGTCACACATGTTGTCTAATGGGTTTGCTGACGAACAAGAAAAGTGTGAAGTCAAGGGTAAGGGTTCTTAAACTGCACTTCCTTTGAAAACAGTGTTAAACAAACCAAGTGGGAAAGAAGTCATAGGCAGTATAGCTCTGTTCAGGAGAGGTTGCCAGCGCAGACAAGCCAAGCCAAACTAGCTTTACATTTTCACTTAGTGGTGGGAGATGGGATTATAATTCTGATGCTGCTCGTATTTGCCACATTACCTCTAAGAGCAAAGCACTCCTTGAGGATTATAAAACACTGGCTTGCTTTGGATGGGGAGGCAAGGCTGCCACCTGCTGAGCCAGCAACATCAGTTCTGCGTCTTCTGTGTTTTCCTTAGTGCAAACTGGAGAATCTTTAGATCATGTTAAGGGGACTTTTTAAAACTTTGGGGTTTTTGGCCATGTATTTTTGACCTTAAAATAATGCGTGTCTCAGTGGTAGACTGACACAAAGTAGATCATTAATAAAGTTGTATTCAGCATAAAAAAAAAAAAATCTAAAATATGCTTTCCTAGAGTAAGAAAAGCTTATTTTAAGTATCAAATACGTTAATAAGTATAATAAAGTAATATGGCTATCCAGATTGATGATGATAAAGCCTTCCATAACTACGAAATCTTTTCTTCTTTTCCTTTTTGCTATCTGCCTGAATTATGTAATGCATTTTAGTCACAGTGATCACAAACATGTACATGTCTGTTTTTATTGTTTTGTTTTAGATAAGATGGGAAAAAAACATCACACTGGGGGAGCCCCCAGGATTCTTGCATTCATGGTGGTGGTAAGTATCAATTTGCTTTTTCTCTGATTTTTTAGAATGTCGACTGCTAGTTCCAGCAGCTGGAGGCAAGAAATTCCAGTGAGCATTGTAAAAGGAATGTGAAGATGAGGATCAACAACCATTTTCTTGTTAAGGAATGAAGGAACAGAAAATTGACTATAGAAAAAGATAGAGATATTAGATACAGGAAAATAAATATTGCATAGTGCATTGATAAGAAAGCATCTTTGGAAACAGGTGGCTTGCATTTCTTTCTTCACCGCTTTCCAGTAAATTGTGCATTTAGGAGATCATTCTACATATCCTAAATAACTGCATTCGAAAAAAACAGTATATACAGAGACTGTGCCTGTAGATGTGAACTTCCTCAGTCATCAGTCCACATTCTAGTCATGGGAATAGCATATGAAAGTGATTAACTGAACCCAAGCTACCAGCCTTTTAAAGAGGCAGCGTGCATTAACATGGGCTTGGTGCTGCAGTGTCTGCATTTGCACAGTTTCTCTCAGCTCAGAATATGGGTAGACACGGGGTTGACACGGGGTAATTTTTTATGCATGATACCATTTGCTTATATACACTGGCGTGCAGAGACACGTTTTTGTGTGTAGAGTTCCCAAGGAGAAAAGGGTGCTCATAGTTACTGCTATTTAGTCATGGTATTTATTAGTTGTCACATGATTTTAATACATCCAATATGCTTGTGTTTGAAAGAACACAAAATACAGATACTATGTCCAACTGTCAGGAGTACAAGAATTTAAAAGTTTTAAAGTGGCCCCATTCGAACCCAAATGATTTGTACAGCTGCAAGGAAAGTGGCATATTCTTCATTGACCTTTCTTTCATAGATTTTATATATGTGGTGGAAGCCTGGCAAGGAGAACATGTTCCTTGTATGTCTGATGTCTGCATTGTCCTTAATTTTGATCATCTGCAGCAGAGTGCTCAAATTTTCTACAATTCCTTATTATGGTGCTGGATTAAGCTATAGAGGATTAAGCCTAAAACAATAAAGAAATGCTATGAAACTCTTAAGAAATTTTATTTATTGGATTGTTCTAGCACACACATAATTTCTTTCCAGAAACTTTGTGTTAGAACTGATTTGTATATAACTATTTGAAGAGGGTTAGCGGGGAAGACTGGTGGGAGTACTATAATTTCCTTTTACTCTTCATAACTCAAGAACATACTCATCTATTTCCTACTCTTGTCCACACACCTGTTTCTCTGGGAACTTTTGTTTAAAGCACAGTATTGGACCTTGGAAGAACTCTCAGTTTTCTTTCCAGTTTCTTGCCTTTTCATGCTATTATGAGTCTGTCCTTTTCCATGCTATGTGGAAGTTAATTGCAGCAGTCGACAGAGGGATGAGGTTAAATGCAGGGTTTTAGTAATATGCTTTATACCCTTAAACCTTGTATGTTAGACTACTTTCTTGCTCAATACTACAGTGGTATTAAAGGAATACAGTACTACTTGCCTTGGAGAATCGATAGCAGGATTGGATTCTTCATAGGTATTTTACAAAACTAAGTGATTTCACAGAGGTGTTTTCATCCCTTGGCAAGGAGGTGATATGTCTGTTTCTGTATATCAACATGCATGTATGGTGTGCGTACACCATAAAATCTGCGCGAGTGTTACAATGATTTTCTCACCATTTCTGTAACTTCTTAACTTGCAGTGTATTCTGGGATCTCTACTGTGCAGCTCCAGAAAGACGAGAAACATGTGAACATTCAAGTGAAGCAAAAGCCTTTCATGACTATGTAAGTTTTGTCTGTCTTTACCACGCTTTTATTAACTGTATGTATAAATGTGATAGAAAAGTATTTTGGTCATATAGGTGGTGTCAGTCTTACATAAGTAACTCTCAGTTTTCTGAGGATGCCTTAGAATTGGGAGTTGCTAATTCTGTGATTACCCAGCACCATATGGAAAACTCCTGGAAGCCATCTCAGAGATCAAAGTGCTGTGCCATGTGTTAATGCAGAATGAAGAATGTCCTTCTGTCTGTCTGTCACAGACACATCAGGCTGGTCACAGAGGCACAGGGCAAATGGAAGCACAGATATGTCCTGTCCAAATATCCATACTCTACTAATGCTGAAGAAAAGGTTATTCAGTAGATGGAATTTATCATCTAGCTCCTGTCAGGACTATACTGACTTAAAGTGTGATTGTTCTTGGTGTTTTTGTATCCTCAAGTAGGTACTTTTCATCAGTGTAATAAACACGTAAGCGTCACAGAACAAGTTAAATGCAAAATCATCTGGTCCAAGAGAACGGGAAGAATAAAGGGCAAAAGTATTACACCAATTTTGATGCCTTTGAGACTTAGTTCAAAACATAGCAGGGAGTTTGGTGGTGTTTTGCCTGCAAAACTAGTAATAATAAAAAAGTAGTTCTAGAAACTAGGCCCTAAAACATTGCAACAGTTACATTCCTGTTTCTGCATTCTCATAATGTAAATGGAGCACTCCAGAAATGTAGAATTGCATTCCAGAGTTGGAATGGAATTTGGCTTCCTTCTGCGAAGTCAGCTCCTCTCCATCCAGTGATTTCATTTTTACTGACAAAATCTGTAGGAGGCTGACCACTCTGAGTTTATTGTTCAGTTAGGCCATTCATGTAGTCTAAAGAGAGAAGATAACTTTCTCACGGTACAACTCTGAAACCTCTTTCCTTGAGTGTTTTCCAGGTCTTTCTCAAAAATACTGTCTATTTACTGCAGAAAAATATTTTTACAAATAAAATTAAAATTAGGCTGCCTTAGCCTTTTGTGTCTTACAAACATAAATTTGGAAAAATGGAAATGAATCAGCTAAGTGACCACTCTCTGGTGTCATAATCTGATAATGTCTTAGCATCCCACAGTATGTGAGCTAGTGGTGATCTTGCCTTACTTCTTGTTAACAATGACTTACGTTGTAAATGCACTATTAACACAGTTAGAACTGTTCAGCATATTTTACTTAGAAACCAATGCCACTTTAATACCCTGTTCTTGGTGGTTAGATTATAAGGCTAATTGGTAAAGGAGCTTGGACAATTTTGCACAGTCATGTCTGGGCTACATTGATTACTAGTTATAATTAATAAAAAAGAAGTGTCAGAGAGAGGAACAAAGTTATAAGGAACTTTTCCACCCACAGAAATGCTAAGGTCAACCAACTTGGTAAAGCATATTCCTCAAAATAAAAATGAAGTAACTCTTGCATGTATAATTGCTGCAATCTTTTTCACCTGTTTTGTTTTAAATACACAATTGTTGTAAAAATACAATATTTCACTGTTGTTTTGAATTGTTGTTATAAGAGCAAGGTTTAATTCCCCACTGAAGGAGAAATAGCTTACGACTGCAGGGAATGGCATTAGTGAATTAAATTTGTGGAGATCAAAATCCACAGTACAACAGTTGACTTCACTGGGGGACAATGTGCTCTCAAAATATAATATGTATAACAAATGACAAAAATCTGAAACCTGTAGATGTTGTGAAACAATTTTGAAACACGATGATCAGCAAGAGGAAATTTTCAATGGAAAAATACTTGGAAATCTAAAAAGGAGTGGAATCCACAATCCTTTACACTCATGAGAGTTTCACTGATCAGTAAGTTCTAAATTTTGAGGTATACTAAGAAGAAGTTAAGAATTAAAAAGAATCTAAATTTTAAGGGATACTAAGAATGAACAGATGAATCAAAAGAATGTCAAACAAAAAAATATTGTCTTAACATCACCTGTAGCGTTTCTGACTTCTACAGGTCTTGAAATATTACATGGCCTTATTGCTCTGTTCGGTCTCCATTATAATGTGTATTGTCATAATTAAAAAAAAATGAGAAGATACTCAAATGAGTTCTGTGTGTGATACAATTTTGTGATTGAATGTTTAAGTTATTGTACAAAGTCGTGTTTGATGAAGGAAAAATAAAATCATGGTATGCTTCTATATGCATATCAATCTGTGTTAAGACAGAATGAATGTTTATTTTAGAAATAAATTGGTTTATTTCAGAAATTAATTCACCAGGTATTTCTAAAAACGCTTCTCTCTCAATCTTTTAAGGTGACGGGAAGAGCTAGCTTTTGCATTATTATTGTCACAGTTGAGATAAACTTGTGTAATATCTAGCAAGACTCATAGTGCTCCTTAACGTGATGTGCTTTTTGCTTAGTAAGGCAGTCTGCATCATGGTAAGTGCATACTTTGAAAATCTCACATGTATTTAATAGTTCATGAGTGTATTGTTCACTCATGAGTGTATTGTTCACTCATGAGTGTATTGTACACTCAAGAACATGACAAATCATTACAAAATACAGCCAAGCATATTTCACAGTAGAGGAAGACGAACACTTATTAAGTTAAATTCTTTGTAGTGTTTTACCGTTGACTCCAGAGGGGTCAAAATTCCATCATCAGTGAAGACCATCAGAGAGCAGATTCCTGGATTCTTGCTTCACCATCAGGTTGAGGCATCTGGTAAATCAAAACTCTGCTGTTAAATTGCAGGTCAAGTAATAAAGCGTTTGTAGCTGTATTGTCATATCTGAAAACTGTAATTATTGAGTACAAAAAGCACAGAAGGCTTGTTTATTAATTCATACTAGCAATTCAGAATTTTTTATTAGGTGTGTGTTCTACTTCACGTAAGAAAAATCATTCTTGCTGAAGATGTGAGTGATCTGGTTACACCATACATGTCATGTTTAACACTAAGTAGGCTGAATTAGCTGAACCAGTATCTTGCCTGTCTTTGCTTTTGTGAAGAGAGAAGCATTTAAAAATGTTTGGTGGAGGAGGAAAGCACTTGCAGATGATTTAATGATTTATGAAATACTTCTGTCTCAGTCAACGTAGTTGCAAGTCAATCTGGAACACAAACAGATTAACTCATAAAAAGAATAGATACAAGTAAGGTTTGGTTTTTTTAAGTTTACTTGAAGTTCTACAGTATCTTAACTGCAGTTGCAAAAATAATGCTATTTGACAGCCCTCTCCCGCCCCCTTCTCTGACAATGCATTTTTGAGAGATAAGGTTCATTTCATTATTTACTTTGCCATAAGATTTCAGCATGTGCTTTGCTTGTCGTTGAATACCATTAAATATCTGCAGCTGCACTTTGTACATCTGCAATATACTTGGGTGAGAAGACTTGCAGGATCTTTCTTGGACTCTGCTGTACTGAAAAAGGGTGCATATGGAGTTTCCTGTAATATCAGCTGCCTAATCAGGCAAACTGAGTCTTAACCTGTGTATGCCTATCAGTTTGTGCCACTGAGTCTGTTCTTGACTATTTGTGTAAAATAACAGTAAACCCAAATTCTTTTGGGTAACTATTATTTAAATTTTCTGATACATATATGTGTACACGTTTCTTTATGCAGAAGCATCCCCATTCTGCAGAGAAAGGGTTTGGAAGTACTGTTCCATTGTGTTTGGATTGTACTAATACAACTTTTGATTTTTACTGAGCTAGTGAGAGGAAAAGAGTCTTTCATGTCTGACAGCAGGAACTCAAGGTGGAGGCTGTAACTGCTTGCTCTACTAACAATGCTCATCTCACTAAAAATCCAATAAATAGAAAAGCAACAGCCTATTCTGGTTTTAAAAGGAAGTTTTTCTATGCTGATCCTGAGGTTAAGTATTTGCAGCTTCTCCATGTTATCTAAAAGGGATTCTGTTGTCATTTTCTATCGAGATTTGCAGTTGGAAGTGTTTTCTTCTGAGTGAACAAGGTTCTGAACTCATTATGTACATTTATATAATATATTTTAGGCTTGAAAAGATGCATGTCATGAAAGTGCATATGCTGGATCAGGGAGATAGGTTCTGAAGTTTTAATGTAAATGATACAGAGTTAGATATTGTTTAGATTTCAGGTAACTCAGGAAGGAAAACTGGTGCTCACTTAACCTGTTGATGTTGCAGGCGTTTCAGTAGGAGTAGCTTATCTGAAGCAGAAAAGCCTCCATGTTTCTTTTCCAGGTACCTATTACTTTTCCTGGAGGAAAACTTCTCCATGCTTTGAAGTCTTGTGAAAAATCATTTATGTGGATGCTCTGAGACAAATTTTAGTCTTCACCGTAGAATTTTCTTTCTTCACAGAAAAGGAATTCTAAAGGAATACTCTCTATCTCTGTGGTTAAGATCTGGTTCCTCTGGGCTTTGGACTGAGATCTTCTGTTGAGAGAAGCATGTTCCAATGTGCATGTTGTTCCTTCCTTTTTTCCACTTCTTTCCAAGCTGAAAATGTACTTGGTTAAAAGGGGAAATAAAACATAAACCTTGGAGAAGATGGATTTTTAGCAGCACCCCTACCAATAAACTTCTGACTGCCACAAGTGACCATTCTCCTCTTTCTCAGGCCTGGCCATTCATTCACCTCTCTGGACCCTGGGTTTGGTGGGTTGGTACCTGAAAAGTTCTTTCCAACAAGATGATTTCTTTACATAATGGTTAAGATCTTTTTACAGTCCAGAAGTTCCTGGGCCTCTCTCTTACCCTGCCTACAATGGAAATGTGGTATTGGTGCAAAGAGGGATCTATTAATTCTTACAAGTAGCTATAGTGAAATCGTGATTATTTTCCAGGTAAGGTTTTATTATGGTCTTCTCCACAGCTCTTTGAAAGATTACTTCTGGTATGAGTAAGTGTGTCTTGTTTGTTTTTATGGCTCCCAAAAGAATGCCAGGTAATTCACAGGATAAGAAAAAAAGACACATTCATTGCC